TTTGAACCCCCTCAATCCCTTGGGATGTGGTATCTGAAGGGGATTAGGGCCCCAGCAGGCTGCAGCTGGGGAACACCAGCCACGAGTCCAATGGGAAGCAGCAGGTCTGGGGGGAAAGGAGCTGGGTCGAGTTGTGCTCGGGGGAAACTGGGCTGTGTCAAACCAGAGGTGGCTCAAATGGGGCTCTGGGCTCCGTGATCATCGGCCTTCCCAGGCCTGGTCGCTCACAGGCCTGAGGAGCTCCTGGAGCATGGTTGGGAAGGCAAAATTCCACTCTTTGGGAAGTCTAAAGAGTGCAAGAGTGAGCCCAGAGCCCCCCATGTGCTGGGTGAACCCCCACCCTGTGAGCAGCTCAGGGAGGGGATTCTCCTCCTCTGCTGCATGAAGGAGAGACCTTGGAGCAGCTCCAGTGCCTAAAGGGGCTGCAGGAAACCTGGAGAGGGGCTTTGGACACAGGATTTGGGGACAGGGACAAGGGGAATGGCTTGAACCTGCCCGAGGGGACACTGAGATGGGATCTGGGGCAGAAGCTCTTCCCTGGGAGGGTGCTGAGGTTCTTACATCCTGTTCTTCTCCTGCAGATAAAACAGGAGGGAAGAAGTTCTCCAAGGAGTTTGAAGAAGCAAGTTCGAAGCTGGAGGAGTTTGTCAATGGCTTGGACAAGCAAGTGAAGAATGGTCCCTCTCTCACAGAGGCCCTGGAAAACGCTGGGATATTTTATGAAGCTCAGTATAAGGAAGTCAAGGTGGTGGCAAATGTAAGTGGCTCTTTCCTGCCTCCTCCTCACATGCATCATCTTCTGTTCGCAACCGAAGGAGCTGGAGGTGGTGGTTGTCCAGGTGCTTCCTCTCGGTTGGTGCTACCAAAATCCAGGGCTCGGGAGCTCTGTTTTAGCCCCTTTGGGTTTTCAACCGGGGGCAGAATTAAAGCTCATCCAAACCCTGAAGGGTGGAAACAGCACAAATTGTCCTCAGCAGGGAAGCGGCCGAGGCAGGAGCATCCCCTGGAGGCTCCTCAGCCCGTGTCCTTTCCTCCTTAGGCCTACAAAACTTTTGCCAACCGCGTGAGCAACCTGAAGAAGAAGCTTGACCAGTTGAAAGCAACACTTCCTGATCCCGAGGAGTCTCCTGTCCCTTCCCCAAGCATGGATGCACCATCTCCAACGGGCTCCGAGTCTCCGTTCCAAGGGATGGGAGACGAGGACAATTCCCACTCGCCGGCGGGTGGGAGCC